GAGACAGAGCAAGGTTGAGATACCAATCCCAGAGCCGATATATGACGATCCAGATAACCCATGCTATACCAAAAGCTTCGAATATAAAGTGCCAAGCGGTGCTATTACAAGCCCAAGCAAAACCACGGCGGTTCCCATGCCCCCCATGAACGAGAACTTGGCCTATGGTGCTCTTCAGCCGACGGAGCAACAGTCAACTGGTGCAGAAGATCAATGCTAAAACTGTGATACTGTATGTTTAACTGCACTACTACAAGACCCCTAATGAACATAGCTAGTTAGGTTGTAACTGCACTCATTGAAGGCTAAGTTACATGATCCAGTTTCAATATTAAACCTGAGTCCTGAACAGTTTATTTTATACAAGTATATAGTGCTGTGAATCCAGTCCACTTTACGTCACACATGCATGTCACGAAGGTCTAGTTAACGACACTACATCTTGTTCCATGCACTTGTCATTTCGTGGTACAGCGTGCTTCTGTGCATGCACTGACACACAGGTGCAAATTGCGGGTAGATCTTAGATTATTGTTCTTGTGTATAATATCCACAACAAAACTACATGTTCCGTGTGCAAAAGGAGACTCAAAAACACCAAAAGTTAACATTAAAATTAGTGAACAAAAGGAAAACATTGTATCCTGATAGGTCTTTTGTAGCTGTTTAAAGAGTGCTTTTAGCGTAAGCCTCAACAGCCTGTACTTCACTGGGACGTGGAGGAGCGTGCCTTGCCCTCTGGAGACGCTGCTGTGGTCGAATCTGTGGTACAGCATACTCGGAACTTGGGATCTCAACGCATCTGTATGCAATGTTCTCTTTCACCTCAGGTTCATCACTTAGAACAGGTTTTGTCATCAAGAAGATTCCGATATTTTCATACTGTCTTTCATCATCTCGCTCACGTTTTCGTTCAGCGGTACTCTCTGATGTGCTTGCACTTTGTTTCCGGTCGCATCGAGGCTCAATATCACTGCTAGCCACACTCAAACTTGCTTTGCGGTAATCTAGAGGCCCAGTTGGCTTTGATTTCCTGTCAGATTTTGGGACAGAAGTACTACTCGGCACACTCACAATTGGTTTTGGGTAACGCTCTGGCTTGACGACACTACTTGGTAATGTCATACTTGGTTTTCGGCCATGTCGAGGCTCAGTGGCACTTCTCGGTGCACTAAGGTTTGCGGTACGTCCGAGGCCTAGAAACATTTGGCTCAAGCATACTAGTAGATTGCTCGTCAAATTGTCGCTCAGTAGTGCCACGTGGCACACTCACACTTGGTTTCCTCCGGTGTTCTAAGGGTAGAAGCACTGGGACCGCTATTCCCATCATCCCACCAAAACCACTGTTTTTGTTTTCATTAGATTGAGGAGTTGACCCTTCACTAGCCTTGGGAGGACTATCATAGTCGTTTCCATCACCCAGAGAGTTGGAGCACTGCAGTGTCGGAGGTTTTAGAGATCTCTGCCGTCTCCTCTTGTAACAGGAGATTGTCACAACAACAGCAACAGCAGCTGCTACTATGAGAATGACTAAAACGAGTAGAAGGAGTAGGAGATTGTTTGACAACTTTGAACTGCTCTCTTTACCTAGATTGGAAAAAAAACACTCTGTTATGTCATGCAAATGAAAGGTCAATTAAACAGTGAATAGTAAGCATGCTTACCATCATTGTCGGTGATTGTAATTTTCAAGATGTCATGGTTTACAAGTACAGAGTCGGAAGAGTTGGAACTTATCAGTGAAAGCACAAGCGTTTCCGTTTCCTCTGTTTCTCCGTCATCCTCAATTGTCACAGAGAAAGACTGACTTTCCCCCTTCTTGATGAACGTAAAGTGCAGAGATTGAGGCATTATGAAATCTGAAAAAAAACATTTACAACGGGTTAGAGTCGTAATAGTCATCTGTTTGTCCATAATTGGGGCACAGTTTATGAATCATTTCTGCTAGCTACTGGCTCAATATACAAAGCAATGTTAAAACATGTGAGCTCATTCCATGCCAGTTGCTAAGAGGTGTTGTCAAGATAGGTACATACCACGAGGCAAAACGCCTATTGGTGGTGCCCTTGCTGTTACAAACCTTTTCCCTCGAGGGCCGTGCCATTGCTGACGACGATGTCCACGGAGACTGGTACCGCCACTTCAGTCCAAAGGCCAACAGACAACTCAATACTGCCACTGTCTTCAGCAACAGTAGTGCTGGTTTCTGCAAACCCCACTGTTACTGTGTCTGGGGAAGAGATTATAATCACGGTTATCGACAATAGTTATAGTTATTGTACCGTCAGTGACTTTAGCTAATACACGCCCACGCATCCTGCTAAAAACTCCAGGTTTCTGTAGCTAGCTATACTTACTGTCGTCATCAGTGATGGTGTACTACGTCGTCATCATGATGGTCAATGTGAAAGGAAAGACTGCAGTTCTACTGAAGATCTGGGACTAAAAGTGAAAGTGTAAGAACATGTATTTCATCAGGTTCCAATGCCACTTCATCATTCGGGAGAGTGACAGAAATCATAGTCCTCTTTGCAGCGGCTTGAATAACCCAATCTTCGTAAAGGAGTCCATCAGCCCTAACTCGGAAGTGAATGTCAAAGTCACAGCGAAGTGATTTGGAGACACCCAACTCCAATAAGCCACCTTCACTGACTGTGTACGACTCGTCTTCAAATCCTAGAGTAACAACTGAAAACCAAATTTTACAGCTTGTACGAAAGTGGTCATTAGACAGTCGGTAGACTCTCTATATAGGGATGACACGGGTGAAATCTCACGTGATCCGCGTACAAAACGACTAAAAACTCGGTGAGAATCACTCCCTAGGCCTTGAAAACATCTACGGGCCCATATCTACCTATACATGCCCCCCAAGACTTCATACGCACCTTCAGTCGTCAACGAGAGAATTTGCTCTTACACGATTTCACGATTTTCGTGTCATCATCATAGTCTTCTTCTTCTTCTTTAAACCTGCTATCTCCTTACCAGTACCAGTTAAAGCACTGATTTTTTTCACTGAAGGTCTCCAATTTCGCCGGAGGTGTGCACGGACATCAAAGCGATCGTTTCTTTCTTGCCGCTAGTCACTACGGTAGATCGTTGAGCTCTTCAAATGGTCGACACTGAAGAACGCCATTTTTGCTGCTAACAGCGCCAGTGAGCCGCGCGCATGCGCCAGGCAGGGGCGTTGTCACCAATGCGCTTGCGTGCGTATTCTACCAGGCGAGTTGTCAGACCTGCAGAGGAACTCTCAGCCTCCAGTACCTTTTGTAAGTAAGTGTGACTGTACATTTCCAACTGGCTAGCTTGTTGTTGATTTGCACGAAGAGCAACTTGCCAGAGTCTGCGCTGTGTTACGCGAGCCGCGGGGCGCCCAGTCAAATGGGCCTTCATTGTTTGTGCCCCCCAGGTTGGGGCCAAAGCCTGCCCGTGAAACCACAACCATGTGCAATAATCTAATTACATCCATGTTGAAGACAAAACATGAGGTGAACGCTGCCCCTGCTTCAGGCCCCATTAGCTACTACATTCACAATTTGCCATATCTACAACATACCCATGAACATCAGAGTAAATGCAGTGTTGTCATTAGCTGTTAAAAATAGTGGAAACAAGTGGAAAAATCATTTCTTCAAAATAAAAGGGATATAGGGATGGCTTGAAGCACCAAAAAGGAAGAAACAAGGGGTCATTACACAGCAAAGTTGCACAAAGCTACATGACACCATCCCTATATTATCTTTGTTCGATATTAAACTTTGCTTATAACCAATAAAACAAAGATATAGGGATGGTGTCATGTAGCTTTGTGCAACTTTGCTGTGTAATGACCCCTTGTTTCTTCCTTTTTGGTGCTTCAAGCCATCCCTATATCCCCCTTTCATTTTGAAGAAATGATTTTTCCACTTGTGTAAGTAAGCATTGTACCTCCATCATGCTGAATAACGACTGTAGTTATTGCATCCTCCACAACTGCCATTATGTTGTTGTCGTCAATGCTACAGTGTATCTCCTCATCATGCTCAACTACTGGTGAACTGAGTATGGCAATTACTAGGCAGGCCCTGCTTGCTCCTGATGGTATTTCAATTATCGGGGGATTCTCAAACTGAAAGTCATTATCTAAATTATATATAGAGAGAATAGAATGTGTGAAGCAATCATAATGTGGAAAAAAAACTTTGCTTGCCTGTTGCTGAGCTGGACCCCACATGAACAGTGATAGTAAGGCTCTCAATAACAGGACCAGTGAGGACACTGATGCATATAGTGACACTGCCTTCTGCCTCAGATGTAGTATATCGTGCTTGTTCAAATCCAATATGAGCTGCAAACAGAAAAAATAGAATGAATCCAACGCATTTTTGGCAAGCTAGCACAGGCAGCTCAATTGTTTTCGCATACTATTTTAATGACGTAAAATAATTATAAAGATGTATAATGTGCAGAGCAGGTCACAATTTATAATTATAGAGAAAATCCTGGGGTTAGGCGACAAGGTAGGCTAACTTCACTCGTCAATAATCCTTCTTTTCATCACTTGAAGCCTTTGAAAACTCACGAAAGTCATCATTAGTGATGATAATGGTAGTTGAACCAAGGAGTGCCACAGCATCAGGAGGTTGAGGATTAGTGAGGGAAATGGTTAGTGTCTCTTGCCCCTCAATCACAGTATCGTCTACTACTTGCAGAATAGCATTTGACTCCCGTGTTCCTCCCGGGCCAAACCTCAGTGTTCGAGAATCGCCCCAAACAAAATCTGGAAAAAGTCAATCATTCAGTAAAAAGTGAATTTAAGCAACAAAAAAAGTGGCAGTGTAGTTTCCATTACCTTCGGCCTCATTAGCTATTCCAGAAAATACAACGTCCACAGTGATAGGTACATTAGTGTTGCCAATCATAGAGACTGTCACGATAACTTCTCCAACATCTTCACTCACTGTTAGAATAGTTTTGCCAAATTTTACAGTCAGCTCTGCAAAGAAACAAAAGAAATCACTCACATAACAAGGCTCATGATTAAAACTGGCTCTTAAAAAAACTTCATTTATTCGTACGCTTAGACATACTGTCATTGTCTTCCAGAGTGATGAAAGCAGTGTCAGACGTCAAACCGGAATCATACGTCACATTATTGGAGGAATTAGTCTGCACTAAAGTCAGGATGATAGTCTCTGTTCCTTCGTACACATCATCATCCACAGTTTGTACATTGACTGATAGAGGTTGACTGGTTAGCTCCAACACGGAAGTATTGGATATAATATAGTCTACCAACTCTGTAAAGAAACAATACATTATGACGTAAGCTAAAAGCTCACACTTTATGTATTAGAAAAAAACAGCCGAGAGAGAGTGATTAGAAAGAAAATGTGTATAGCATACTAGCTATAAAGGGAAAGAAGAGTAACAACCCAAGTCACCCTCCACCAAAGTACACAAATTCAACAAACAACACAAAACCTACAATGCTTCTGATTAAATGCAACCATGCAAGGGCTTACTGATAGCATTATCAATACATATTATTATAACAGACCAATACTATTTAACAATATATACCAATTGCTGTTCCTCCAGTGGTGATTAAATAGTCTATGTTGCTTGGACCATTCTGGACTAGATAGATTTTGAGAGCTATATTGTCTCCTTCTGTCGCAGCAATATCTGCTTGTGGCAAGGCAGACTGCCTATCATCTAAATACACAGCATGCAGATAACTAAACCCACCATAGCACAACAGGCAGCGACTGTCACTAATGTAGGTGTACACACCCTCAGTGCTACAACAGCTTGAGAAACTGGTTCCCACATAGAACTCTGTGCAGTCTGCATTCCTCGAACAGAGTACTGCAAATGGTACATGACGACGTCCATAGACAGACAGACACATCTCAATCAAAACCTTGCACAACGCATAAACTGAGGTAGCTTTAATAGTGCGAATCTACACTGCCCAGAATAAAGGGAACGTGGCAGTACATAAAGGCTAAATATTTAGCTATTGGGCCCAGTGCAATAGGTTTCCGTTTTTTTCTTGAAATTTAGGCCCTCATATAATTATATCCTGCCATATACATTCCCTTTAAACGAGGATGTGATAGCGATGGTGCTGTTGATGTATGCTGTCATGAGTGAAGTATTATTGCCGAGCGCATTAGCGCGAGGCAACTACTCCGGGTTGTATTCTCGAGATATGCGTACGTGCGTACGTACGTACATACGTCGTCAATTGGTCACCAAAAGGAAGTGTAACTTCCATCATTCGTAGGAAGTCTAGCTTCTGCCGTGCGCGCAGATTCGTAGGAAGTCTGGCTTTGCGCGCAGTCAGTAGAGCGTGCGCACGATCGGCCTCAATCGGACTGTTTACGCATTGGCTGACAGGCGCGGGGCAAAATATGCGCGTGCGCATTCCTAGTAGTTTGGGGTATTGTCTCACTTGACTGAGATCCTGATCCGTGGTCTGTGTTGTGTGTGTAGGAAGTGAGGTCATACACAATGTTGTTCCACACTGAGTGGCTGTTTAAGCAGGCGATTGCATTGGAGTATGGTTGACCACTAAGGGGGTGATTAGCCCAGACCTCCCCTCTGGCATTGAATCCAATAGTAGATCTCCTTCCTGACCACCCAAGAGAACCACACTTGAATGTGAAGATCGCAAAAGATTTCTCTCCTCCATCGGTGACAAGCACGGCTTGGTAAGAATTGTTCTGTGACAAAAACACGATTAAGTGTTCAAATTCCCCTTCAGTTGCATAGTATGAACTAACCTTGCTAAAATAAATATTAGCAGCAAGTCTATCACCAGAGTATGGGTGCATCTCACTCCAGGTCCCTATAAACACAAACCTTCCAGAAAAGGTTGAGCTATTACTGTTCATGCTGATGAAAAAATTAATCCTATCAATAATTTCATCACTCCCTGGACTGTCTCCAGTACTGTACATCTCCCAGGAGACCTGGCCATAGTAACTGGCATCATTGTCTGTCCAGTAAGGAGCAATAACAAGACGCGAATATACGGAACTGTCATTAGTTGAGGGGAAGAGAACGGCAGAATAATCGGAGAAGGGTGATCCAAAGGAAATCACGCCATTTGAAGACACCTGTAGCACCAAAAAAATCTACAGTGTTGATTTTACAGCATGTGCTCTTACATAGATGGAGCTGTTGTAGTGCTGTCCAAATGGGAATGGGATGGGAAGGTTAATCTTGTCTGAAGTGCAATCATCACATGGCTGAAGTACTCCAGCATTGATTCCTGTTCTTTCTATCCAGGTTATATCAGCTGTGTGTTGATAGAAACTTGCTAAAATACACACTAGCTACATTAGTTGGTGCCTAACACGCAATATTTGGCGAGCGAACTCAAAAGTTTGACATGCACATGCAAGCACATATACACTAACACTTTTAAATTCATAATAATGGTATGGATATCATTGTCATTAAATAATAACAATTGCAATATTCAGACAACTAGGTAGGCTAGTTTTGCTCACCAAAATAATATGGAGCCAACTTTTAAACTGGGTCATGGTTTTGATAATAGTTATTGTATGAATGGCAGCATTCACATTCATGCCTGTTATATATTATTATTTTTCACAGTTAACCTAACATTGAAGATGGATGAGCTTAAGGCTTAATAATTAAACACATGCAGTGTGTCCTGTGTCCTTGTGTCTTGTGTTGTATGTGTCATCTTATTTTGAAATGATAATCCTCCGGGGTATCCATATGAGCACAAGCTATCAAACCCGTACACAACTAAGCCGACCCTTGAAACAGCACCATCAGTATGATGTAGCTGATGAACTCCAGGTGTAATGTTGGCATAGGCTACGTATCCACAAATGTTAACTCTTGAACAATAGACAGTGTTCCATGTGGAGTTCTCAAGTGTAGTATTGTCAACGAAAATATTTTGTGGCTGATAGTGTTCGGGAGTGACAAATACTGATAGAGTTTTGAAGAAATCCTGGTAGTACATTAAAAACATTAAAAGCACTGAAGTGCAAACCCTCGGCGCACTGTGACGCGCATGCGTAAGTAAACGCATGCGCCGTCGCGCAGAGTCTAAATCTCTTTCCCCATAGAGCAGTGGGAGGCACTTGTTCAGTTAGATGGTCACAGTAACCATTGTCACGTGGAACAAAACTGCATGGATTTCCCACGAAAACTGCTAGGGGTCTATTTGATGTAACTCTCGTTCCTGTAAAACTGTTGCTCTCCCAGAAATAGGTCTCAGCTGAACCATGTCAGAACCAATTTGATGCACTGTATTGTTCTCACAACCAACAATCACAAAGTGACTTAAAGTTGTAAACACTAGAAGCGTATGCCAGCCCATAGTATTCATATTCTTCCACTGGTAACCTATCACATGGAAGAGCTAAGAAAGCATCAGTTGATCTGGTGAGAAAATTCAGTCCATTGACCACAATACCGCTCTGCGTCTCAGCTGTGACTCGAATTCCCTTATTACTCTCATTAGCCGATCTAACTTCAAAAGTGGTTGGTATCTCTACCTGCAATATCTCGTGGTTTGTAGCGAACCCCGTGAAATTAAATCCTGTAAGAGTTTCAACACTAATAGCCACAGGGCCTGGCTCAATTGATGAAATATAGAGTTTCAAACTTTCCGAGCCTTCATAGTTTTTACCAAAGGCAATGAGATATTCTGGGGTGGGGGCAGAAGATCAGTTTCATTAAGAAAAAGTTCAAAATCAGTTGTGTAATTAATGGTAGTTGTACAACTGGGATGTTCAAAATCAGTTGTAAGTTGGAGTTACATGGCCTTGGAGTTGGGAATAGCCTAAGCTCCAAACCAATTGTCAATGTCTGTATGGCACATGCCAAGTGGCAAAGCATTGAGTGGTGAGTTCTGAACCACTCTTCTGTGCAGCTAGAATAAACTTTGGTTGCTTGTGCATGTGGTACTACAGATTTCTAGATATCAGTTTCATTATTAAAAAATTCAAAATCAGTTGTAAGTTAAAATTCAGTTGTATGAAAGTAGCTAGACTGTTCAAAATCAGTTGCATAAATTGTAGTTGTACAACTGGGATGTTCAAAGCAGTTGTAAGTAATTTGCAGTTGTAAATTCAGTTGTAAGTTGGAGTTACATGGCCTTGGAGTGGGGAATAGCCTAGGCTCCAAACCACAATTGTCTGCATGGCACATGCCAAGTGGCAAAGCCATAGAGTGATGATCATGAGTTCTGAACCACTGCTCTTTCTTCTAGCTAGAATAAACTTTGGTGGTATCATGGTTGCTTGTGCATATCCTACTACAGATTGCAAGATAACTAAAGTAACTTTGATAAGCCATAGCTTGCACGCTTTTGTCTGAAAAATTGTGTATATATAACTGTGTATACATGCATGTCTCCCGATCAGATAAGGCAGACCAGACACTTAGTATTTGCTAGTGTATGTCAGGCATGCATGTATATACACACAGCATTGTGTGAGTGCAGCTCTTGCTTTGCCTTTGCTATCATGCAATTACTCAGTATTAGCTATGCACATGTCTTCCATGTACAGTATACGTACATACAAGATAAGAGTGATGCTATATACACCATTCTGATTCACAAATGCAACATGGCTCCATGGAAAAACACCCTAGCCCTGGAAAACACAAAAGACAGTGTGAGGTTCATACTGGATCAGAACATCCATTGACCTGACCTCGACACTAACAACACGTGATGCGTACACTGTATACATGGTGTGACAGGGAGCTTAGTGGGTGAAAACGATATGTAGCTATTAGCTGGAATGCACACTCTTTTCCAACGTGTAAAGAACTCCATTTAGAACGCAAATGCAAGGGTGCCACTTGATATTGCCATTAACAAACCACTGGCAGGTTTTGCAGCTCACCTTGATGTGCAATAGCGGATGAGAGGGCCAGCAAAATTGAAAGCAATTGCACGGGATTCATCCTTGAACTTAGCCAACTCGCTTTAGATGAGCAAAATAAGAGATCTTTTCGCTATTGCCGCAAGGGTCCTTGCCTTCTCTCAGTCTGCCGCCGCCGGCATAATGAGACCACGAACTTTATTTCGTAAACGCTTGGGTAGGATGATTGAGCATGCGCTGTAGGCCATGAGGCCGATTATTAACCCTCGGCGCGCATGCGCAGCGAGGGTTACGGTACTTGGTCTGTCGGTCTGTCTGTCTGTCAGTCTGTCCAAGCGAGTTCTCGCACTATAAGCTACGAGGCGGCCAATGAGTGGCACCAACGGGTTGTGAACAACGAGAAGATGGATATTAATAACGTGGCGATTTTCCTGAAAAGACTGCGTTCCAGAGATATGGCGTGAAAAAAACCAACGTGCGTTCGATCGCGCACGCGCCCTCTCTATAGCGCGCAAGCGTCATATAAATTATTCGCCGGAGCATGCGCTACGCCATATATACGCCTTCTGCCAGTTTTTATCTCTGTTCTTTTTGTTTCCAATGGGATAAACATGCTGATCAAGGTATGTTTGCAATGTAGCGTTATAGTTCAGGTGGCGAGCAGTTTGCCTTGCGAGAGCAATGAAGCACAGAAGAGCGGATAGATTGAATAAAGCAAATATGAGAGCCCCTGAAACACCTGAGCAATTGCTCCAACCGCTAATGCAACTACCCTGTGTTACGGTGAGACTCGTGTTACTGGCTCCGTCGATGACGCATGGCCCAGCATACAGCGATGCTACAACTCGCGCGTTTAGCGCCAAGGGTTTGCACTTTAGTGCTTTTCATTATTCCGTTAGCACGCAGCCCAACTGTGCTCGAAAGCGCTCTCTAGCTAGATGCGCTGATATCCTAAAGGATTTCTCGCCGTACCTATTTCTACCGTTATTGGCTATTACGTAGACACTCAGAGCGATCCCAGTGTAGTTCTTTGATATTGGAGAACACAGCTTTTGCTGACGCTGGATCGAATAAACCTTTTCTTATTCTCAGCATGTTAGATGAGACTCCGGACTTTTCCGGTATTATTCGCGCGCATGCGCACTTACTACTCAACAGGTACGGCTCGCCTAGCTGAGTCAACCGTAACGGACAGCACAGCCAATTATGCACGGGTAGCTAGCGCTGTGTTTACGGAAGTCAGCGTGCATTACGGAAAAGCATGCGCGAAACAGATCACTGAGAGCCAATAAAAGAGCTCTGGGGTCACAGCAAGCAGAGGGACTGTCACTGCGGCTCATTGCGTATCTCAGCAGTGTTATTTAAGATGCTGCAGTTATTTCTCACGGCGGCTGCGGTAGTCGGGCTTCTCTTTGTTGATGAAGGTATATAGCTACTACAGCAGTTATCGTCCTATGTTTTATCTCATTGTGTTGATAGCTACTAGTGCAAACATATCTAGCCACCATCATGCCAAAAGTTTGATGGTTGACTCATGGCGGAAGGAAAGCTCTCAGTTTGTCCATTACGAATTTGCAGCCAATAAATCAGCAAGTATTTATCACAATTTGCAGGTTTGGCTCAGTGCTTCACCACTACGGTCTGCACAGGAGAAATAGTTCCAGCAACAGACCTAAGATCCTGCTGTGTTGACACAAACAATGGTCTCTCCTACCGTGATGGAACTACATGCACCCAGTGTATTGGTATGTTCTATATAATTTAAAGGGGGCAGGAGGTTACGCTACCCTTTAGTGCCCCAGTTGTTGTTATATCAGCAATCCCTTAATTACCAGAGTGATAGAAGGAAGTTTCTACTATGTGTCGTAATAAGGCGTATACAATTCGGGGGTGCCCACTGTTAGCTGCTCCAGCAGGGACCACTCTAGCTAAGCTGCTGCAGAATTTAAATTTCCCTCTTTTCCTAAACAAAGTTCATAGAGCTAGCATAGTTATTTTCTTCACTGTTGTGTGTTGTTTGTAGTGCACGGATTCCTTCGGGACACTTACGATGTGAATGAGGACGCTCGACTGGACACTATGTTCCAACTAAACGTGAAAGGAATGAAAAGCACTAAAGTGCAAACCCTCGGCGAACTGCGCATGTGCGGTACCCCTAAAATTAATTGGCTGGGCTATTAGTATAGTATGCGTTTACTAGGTGAGTAGCTCGCAGAGAGTCTGACACGAGCTAGCTACAGTAGTAGATAGCACGCGAGAGTCGATACACGCCATTCGTTGTGACTTCTTGTGCCTTCAAGATAGACGAGAGCAAGCGGACCCGGTCGAGGTAAGCCCGCGCTAATATAAGCGCATGCGCATTATCCGCAGCGATAAAATGGCGACTACCGGCATTAGCCATAAAATGCTGGAAGCGCTCTAGCTTTGCAACGGAGCATTTTCAGAGAAAACCCCACATATATTCTGACCTTCATTGCCCGTTAAGTAGATCGTATCCTTTGTGAGACAAACAGACACTCAAGAAGTGAGATTGAGAGTAACAGACACACACACACACACACACACAACCCAACTAACATAACATAACATTTCATTTGCCCTGGGTTTACAGGAGGTGGAAGGAAGGTGAAGGTCAAGAATACAGGAGTGATTTAAAACTATTATGTAACGATCGACCAAAGATGAATATTGAGTCAGAACAACAGATGCAGGCATCAGTGATTTCTTGGGTGGTGACAGTGAGCTCGGAATAGTCAGACAGGAAATGGGAGAAAATGGAATGAGTATCGAACAAGATGCCGCAGTTTGGAATGGGGCATGTGTTGTCTGAGTGAGGGTGGAGAGAGAGAAACTTCAACACTGCCTGGATGCAGGTGGTTCAAAAGACCCCTCTCTCTTCCCTCCTGACTTGAGGCAATTTGTGTTGGATCAGGGTCTGAGAGCGATGTGAGGCGGCATCAGACAGAAGTAGAGAGATGTCAAGTTTCAGTATATCTTTCTTGATTGAAGAGAGAGAGACACTTTTGGGGGATGTGAGTATAGAAGTGGTGAATGAGGAGTCGAGTGTGGACTCAAGGAATCTGCATTGTCGGACCAGCAGCAGTGACTCGACATCCGTGACAGCGAGTGAGCGGAAGGTTCGGGGCGCTGAAGGAAAGATCACCCACAATGATCTTGTGTAGAAACTTTAGCTTGATAATGAGAATGCGGGCCCTCATCGATGGCCATTTGAGGGCCATGCGAGCTATGTTGTTGGCAGTGTATTTGTGGAGGCAGAGGATTCGCTTGGCCAACTCAGCTTGAAAGGACTCCAGCTTGGCCAGCAACCCATTGTCAAGGATCCACGACTCGGCCCCGTAGAGGAGGCATGGCAGGACGCAGTGTTCAACTATCTTCATGGAGGAGAGAGGGTTGAGCTTTCCATGGAATACTCCACTGCCTCTCGCAAAAAAGGCGCTCCTAGCTTTTTCAATGCTGTTGTTTAGCCACAACTTGCAGGAGAGGTCAGGGGACCACCATGCTCCGAGACATCTGGCGGAGTGAATGAGTGGAATTTTCAACAATCCAGCTTCGATGTATGCCATGTTAGCTGGGGTGGAGGGAGAAATTACTGCTTCACATTTGTCGATGTTTAGTGTGAGGCCTTGTGATGTGGCAAACTCATTGACAACATTGATCTGGAGTTGGCAGTCAGAGATGTTTGTGGACAGGGTACGAATGTCGTCAGCATGGGCGAAAGCGCCAAGGTGGAGACCGCAGACCGTGGGACCACATGATCTGTTTTTGAGCTCTTGGAGTAGCGGACAGTGAAGGAGGGGGAGGTTGCTTTGCAGAGGCGTACGTACGAGTGGACGTTGGTGTACCAGTCTTTGATGAGGCGCCAGGTTTTTCCTGTAATGCCAGCGTTCTTAAGGTGAGTGAGAAGAACTGGATATTCCACAGTGTCAAATGCAGAGGCCAGATCATAGAAGCAGGAGTAGATGGAGTCACCATCATGGATGAATTTGGAGATGGTTTCTTGGCACGTGAATTTTCCATCAATTTTAGGGGTACCGCGCATGCGCAGTGCGCCAAGGGTTTGCAGTTAGTGACTTTCTGTCTCAGTGTAGGCATCTTCTTGTTCCCCTTCTTGATGAAATGATTTATCATCATGTAACGCAATACGGCGGATGTTATGCACAAGTGCATGTCTTATATTTCAATTGCTCATGACACCTGACTCTGACGAGGCTTGTAGCTAGCTAATAGTATAGCTATCACTTTCGACTGCATCATGATTATAAACAAATGATCAGTGAAGCTTTCAAATTTCATAATAGGCCAGCACAATAGCATTACTCATAAACATCACGCATCTAAATCTCTCTCTTCTCTTCCCTTTGCTTGCCTCCTTCTACAGGCTGTCAAAATTATTCCCTAATGCTCCTTATTTGTTTTTAAATTATTTCCTGATAGCTACTTGGTCTAGAGTAGTTTGTAAATGTTTGAGTGTGACATTATGAGTTTTCAGACCCACCCTGGCAAGAATTTTCCCCAGGATATTTTTGTTCAGCTTGTGAATTTGTTTTTTCCATAGAAACTTTCGGGAGGAGTTATGTGCAACTTTCACTGTTATAGCTAAACGAAAATACACTGAGTATGACAGGAAGGCAATGCACTGTATATGGGTGGCTGCAAGTCAACTATGCATGTATATATATAATACATTATAGGAAAAGGATGGCCAAAGTGTATATACATGAGCTATGTCAAGACTGCATGTTGTGTATTGAAAGTCTGTTTATACTGATCCCACAGACTTCCATATAATAGTGACCAGTGTGATTGTGTAAACCAGAAGGGCTGTGCACTGCCTTATCTTCGTGCATAGTGGTGGCCCTGTGCACATTGTTAGTTGTCTTCATGAGCTGCTTTTCCTTTAGGTACAGACATACACATGAACATCAATGCTAACAAAGACCTTAACCAGATTGACATCAATCTCACATGATCTGCATGCAAGAAACTCACATGATCTGTGTGCAACAAACCTCGAAACTAACAGAGAGAATGCCTTCAACCTGTTTTCTCTCTCTGCTTATTCACTTTCATCAATGTCATAATGCAATGAGAGCTGTGCTCTTTCAAGCATCCCTTATAGCTATATCAGCAGTTGTAAGTTGTAGGTACACACAGACCCCCCCTTTGCCAGGGCAAACGGATTATTTAGTGATAGTTGTGTGTTTTTACAGGGCTTAGTTACTTTGTATAATATAGAAATCATCATTGATCAAACAAACAGTTGTGTAATGCCCTGATACCATAGCACACATAATTACCTATAAGATGAACAAAACTCCCTATCATAGTCCCATACATCTATGATGCTAGGTACCATGCCCATCCCTATATAGCTACTAAGTATACTATACCGTACTTAGTGATAGAGAAGTATATATTTCAGAAGGTCCACAGATGCACTTTCAATTGCGCAATTGTGAATGACTAATAATGTCAACCTACCCTTATTAATACCCAAACACTATCTTCTCACATTGAACGTGCCACAGCCAAAAACTTGCCGCTGCTCTAGCAACGGGAAATGACGTAGTTTATTGCTGAGCGCGCGAGGTTCGCCGCGTCAGAAGAAGGTGAGTACGATGAGCCATATACAACAGAACTCATTGTTGCTGGCTTCACTGTTATTTGCTGCTTGTGGTGCGATCAGGGAGATCGAACAACCGTTTGTTTCAGCAGGTACGGCAATTTGTAGCCTATAATATAGCTACGCGTGGTCGTAGCTACGCTAGCAGTGGCGGAGACTTCACTACATAGTTAGCTCTCGCAATTGAGTGTTTGTGTAAGCCTCTAGGCTTGATCAGGTCTTTGTCTTTCACTCATGAAAGCTAGACTTGAAAGCTCGCGCGTGAGCTAACCGTTTTTACATCGTTGATTAGCTAAATAACTGAAAGGCTAAGGCTCAAAATAATTTGGCAAGGAGATGCAGCCAGGTTGCACATGGTTGGATCATGTATGATCCCCACTATACAGCAACCAGAAATTCCTTTGTCTATTAGAGGGAAGCTGCACCCACTGATAGCTAGCAGAGATAGGGATTGCAGCTAGCTATTGATCTTTTCCACAATTTGTTTACAACCAACTTTCCAAGTAAGTATAATATGTATAGCCTTGCTGTTTGGTGGTGGCTGCACACAAAGCTATATGTTTAAAAAACAGACTTGCTAGCTACGTATATGGGAGGCAAATGCTTTTCTCATAACTTTAGAGGGAGAAGAGTGTCATTTATTTCCCCCCCCCCCCCCACTCATCAAGGGACCACGTTCGTGGTTTATTGCGGTAACGATTGCTATGCTGGGAGTGTTCATCAAAGTACGCTTGAAGCATGTTGGTTACTCGTGGGCGTGGCTACGTCGGACCAACATTGCGCTATGATTCGCGCCGGGCCTATAAAAAGCAGTTATCGCTCCACCAGTGCAGCAAACGTCGGTAGCCGTAGTCCTGGTAAAACTCATGCAGAAAAAATTGGTTTTGCAGCTTTGTTAGTGTCGTTGCTATAGTTGCAGTTGACGCAAACGTTAGAACAATCGAAGAACCGTTTGTGTCAGCAGGTAAAGCGCTGCAACACTTGAACAGTAAAATGGTATTGTAGTGTATCGATCATGGAATACACTCTTTGTTTTTCGCAGAACCATCTACTCCCGGATCTATTGGAACAAAGTTCTTGGTAGGATTCATGCAAAATGTTCTCCCAAGAACTGTAGGGAACACTGTGCCTGATGCATACCTACTGGTGACGACCAATGAGACTGGAGTGGTGGAGTTTGATGTGACAACCATGTTTGGTGGTGTGCAAAGCTCCAGCACATATACAGTGGATTCAACTGCACCGACACGAGTCAACTTTCCAGCTGATGACGTCTATGTGACAAATATTCAGGATAGGGATAAAGCTATTTGGGTGCAAACTAGTAACAACAAGAAGATAGCCATCAAAGTTGTCAATGATGAATTCCGCTCTTCCGACGGATTTGTTGCTCTCCCATGTGATTCAATGACAGTACCATCAGATTTTCGCATATATGAATATCTCATTCTCTCCACTAATCAAGACACGACAGGCCAGTCAGGAAGCACACCAAGATCCAGCCAGTTTCTTGTCATTACTTGTGATGATGACACACAGGTTGCTGTAACGCCATCAACTGCAATCAGTGGAAGTGGTGCCTTTCAACACACTCTATTTGGTCCAGGAGAATCACAAGCATCATCAAACTGGCGAGTCAACACAAACAACAACCTAATACCTGCACAACAGACGCTCTTGATCTCAATTACCAATCAAGACCTTACCGGACTGTGGTACAGGGAAACAAGCCATTAGTAGTAATTTCTGGTCATCAGTGTGGACAAGTTACTGAGAGTGTTACAACATGTGACCATGTGGCAGCTCAGATACCTCCACACACGACATGGGGCTACACATTCCTGCTAAACCCTCTCAGTGGAAGACGAAGTGGAGACTTGTATCGTTTTGCAACCCTCCAGGACGACACTGACATTACCATCACATGTGTGAATGCTGGAAGCAGTACTGCAACAGTTGAGTATACAACAACTCTGAATTCTGCTCAAGGTTCTAACTGGGGACAGTTTGAAACCCACTCTGAAGGTTGTAGTGCCCCTTATGTCCCAAAATATTGCTGCTTGGAATCCTCCAATCCTGTCATACTAGCTCAGTACAGCTATGGCTACACAAGGGATGCAGCATGCAATGGAGGAGAGCTTGGAGATCCCTTCATGAGTGTGATTCCTCCAATGGCTCAGTATTTACGCTTTTACCACCTTGTTCCAGTCAGTTTTTCGTCGGGACCTATTGTCAATCATTTCTTCAGTGTTTCTGTTCCAGTGAGATACTTTCAACCATGTAGAATTATGTTGGACAATGCTCCATTGGAAGCTAATGCTACTCTGTGGCAAGCCATCTACTGCAGCACTGGAGAAATCTGTGGATATGGCATTACAAAGGACTTTGATAATCAGTACCACATTCTCTTCCACGCTGATGCTAATTCAGCAATTTTTGTTCACACCTATGGCTTCAACATCAAAAT